GGGAAAAAGAGGGAAAAATAATTAAGAGGGAAAATAAGGGAAAAAGAGGGATTCCCTGTTGCCTGTAGAGGGAAGGGAAGGGATTCCCTCTTTGCATAGTTTAAGGGAAAAGGGAAGGGAAGGGAATGGAAAAATAGGAAAAGTGGCATGTCTAGTTTACATTATTAGGCCTTTTGTACAGTGTATGAAAATGAAAACATTTTGACCACATTTTTGTGACATTTATTTGCATTTCATAACAAACATACAATAATTGTATTACAATTCGTTCATACAATCATCACTTCATTTGATCCCAAGATACGACACAACAGTTGATACAAATGATGGCATCACTCGAGACCACAGATGACGGCAATGAAGACAACACTCAACAGGTATTTCACAAACAATTTACTGTTTTTTGAGTTTTCATTGTTTTTGTCTCATATTTCAGCCACAAATCTATGCCAAAGACTCTTTGGATCGATTCGGTGATGACTTATTTGGACACATAGTGTCTTATCTCTCACTCGAAGATCGATTTCGTAACGAATGTGTTTCTAAACAGTTCCAGAGGACTGTCTTCGAGAGTGTTGTGGACATCAATATAGACGACAAACTCATGAGTAGAGCACAGAAGAGAACCGAGACTTTAAGCTATTTGTTTGAATCGATTGCCAGAAAGTGTCCAAACATTGAGACCATTGACTGCAGAGGAATAACCACTTGTTTGGAACAGATTGTCGGGTGTAGGAGAAGAATGTCGGACACATCTCGAGACAATTGTCGGGCAATTGTCTTAGCATTGAATGAAAGCAAATGCGAAATATTACCACTATTTCGAGAGAATTGCCGATATTTGCGGCAAATTTACTGCAATTTAATGCCGAATAAGAATCACTTCTTTGAGATATTCGGACCACTGATCACACGAATCGATTCCGGAATGAATTATTCGGAGAACCAATCACTCATTCATTGCCACCGATTGTCACAATTAACTGTCAACTCGTTGTCCGATGTCTTCGACTATACTTCCGGACTATTGGTGAAGAATATGCAGACATTTTCATTTTCTTACCATCCAATGGATTATAAGAAATACTTCTCTGCATTTGTGGCACAGAATCAGTCCCTCAAACGTCTCGATCTGTATGTTATGGGATATCAAACTCACGAGTCTATGGCTGAACTGTGCGGACAATTGTCACGATTACCGCAATTACGGGATTTAACGCTCGATTTCATTAACTTTAATTACCAGAACTTAATTAACGACTCTTTGCGTACAATTGACGTGAATTGCAAACAATTGCAACGATTGTCACTCCGATTGAACAACAATTGGTCAAAGGATATGAATGACAGGGCATTGGATTCGTTGAAAACTTATCGCGGATTAAAACGATTGGATATAACACTTAGTTCAGCCATTGATGACACGTCTTTGGAACCGTTGAAACTCTGCCACCGATTGACACACTTAACGCTTAATATTAATACGTGGGAAATGAGTGAACAATTAATGTATAATTGTGACCAATATTTGCCTCGACTTCAGTGCCTATCTATTAGTCTCTATCAGCGAATAAACGCCGAGTGTTTGTCACACATCTCAAGACTACCGGCGCTGCAAATGCTTATCATTAAAGTCAAGCCAAACATTAATCTCTCGTATAATGATTTGAATGCTGTGTTGTCTTCGAGTCCTAAACTCAAGACAATTGAATTGCGTGAATACAAATCCAATGCAATCCACTTTCATAACGATCTCTATCAACAAAAATTGGTTTTCATATAAAATCCATTAAAAGTGTAAAAATTTATAGAAATTAAAATCAATGTTAAAATTGTTCTATAAATTGAAAGTAAATTGAGTTGAAAAATGCTAACCCTATGGCAATGTTAATTCTATGGATGTAATGCTTTTAAATATTATTTGTAACCCATAACATTACACAAACATTGATTATTTATATAAGTATGAAAACAACAATAAAATAATATTTTTTACAAGAAATTACTGTTTTTAAAATATAAATACAAATTAAAAATTAACTTTTGATTCGTTTAATTAGTAATTATATTAATTAATAAAAGTTAATATAAACTTAAATTATCATTTCTGTGTATAAAATGAATAAAATACTGTAATAATTATTATAAATAACTTATATTTTAATTAAAAAATGATTACAAGTCATGTATTAGTTACCTTAGGTGCATATATAAAACTAGCATATAAACGCCGAATCCAAAAATATTTACACTTTAAGATAGCTTCAAATACTACTGTACGTCTTTATACATAAGCTGTGTTATAAAATGCACATAACAGAGCATATAGGTTTTGGTCCCTTTTATGACATGCTATATCCCGCATAATTAATAAAAGTTAATATAAACTTAAATTATCATTTCTGTGTATAAAATGAATAAAATACTGTAATAATTATTATAAATAACTTATATTTTAATTAAAAAATGATTACAAGTCATGTATTAGTTATACAAATATTTCACAAATTTTATATCAAAAACAAACCATAAATGTATGACTCAATTGTTATAATTATTTTATTAATATTAACCATTGATTGCATTTTTATTTTGAATAAAACTTCTTGTAATTGTTTAAACAGATTTCGATTGTCTTTAGTTTAGGACTTTTGAACAAAGCGTAAAAGCGTTTAATGAATAAATGTTAATATTATCCAATTTTTGTGGCATTTATTTACTTTTCATAATAAAAATACTTTAAATTAAGTAATTCCAAAATTTGCTTATAAGCACTTTTCACATCAAACCCTTGTGTTGTAATTTATACACTAAGATATCTTATTCATATATTAAACGTTACCTTTATAATGAATACTTGAAAATTCACCTTGGTGATTCAGTAACCACGTCATATTATAAATATCCCCTATATCAATTTGGAATGTGTTACTTTAAATTTATTAATATGTTTAAATAAATATTGAAATTATTTATATAAATAATCAAATTATTAGACAACTGTTGGCGCGTATGAAGAGATCCACAACTGATGGACACAAACAGGTATTTGACAAACAATTGACTGTTTATTGAGTTATGTTTTTGTTAAACATTTTTACAATGTTTGGACTGCATTTTTATCATTACATTTAATTAATAGTGATCTGTAAATAAAATACAAACATTTTCTATTATTAATAAATAAGTAGCTTTTGTGTAAAACTAATTCCTGGTAACATTAAAATATTCTTGTATTGATTTAAAATAAATAAATAAAAGTAAAATAATTTCGAATTAAATCAATAAATTAATGATAATAAATATAAAATAAAAGTTTATTAGCATTAGAAATATATTTTAAAGACTTTTAAATAACGATTTGAAAGATATAAACAAAATTAAATTGAATTTACAAAAAAACAAAACATTGATTGCATTTTTACTTTGAATAAAACTTCTTCTCATTGTTTACACGGATTTCAATTGTCTTGAGTTTAGGACTCGAAGACAACACAGCATTCAAATCATTGTCCGAGAGATCAATGTCTTGATTGCAGTGAATGACAAGCATTTGCAGCGCCGGTAGTCTTGAGATGTGATGCAAACACTCTGTGACAAAATGAAGACATCTAATGGACAAGTATTGAAGTCGTGGCCAAAATTCGTGACAATTGTTTAACAAATTGCAGTCCATTTGCGATAAATTGAGCAAAAAATGGGTTATTCTTAAGCCCGGAATCGATATATCAAAAAATTGTCTCTTTCTGCCCAAAACGCAGCACTCATTTGAACCGAGCGTTAAATCCAATCGTTTTAATCGTCGAAACGATTGCAACGAATCCAATGTCTGGACACCGAGTCCTCCATTAGTCCGCAATTGAAGTGCCAATCGTTGCAATTGTTTGCAATTCACACCAATTGTGCGCAAAGAGTCGTTTAATGAGTTGTCGTAATGCCATAAATCGAGTGTCAATTCCCATAATTGTGTTAATCGTGACAATAAAACCGAATACGCGGAAAGTGTTTTGACTCAAGAATTTGATTGAACTCACGGTAAGACATCTGAGGGACTGATTGTCGGCCACAAATCGGCACAACAATTGGCTATTAATGTCATTGCCTTTGAATGTAAACTCAAATGTCAACAAATTCTTTGCCATCAATTGTCCGGAAGTGTTGTCAAAGACTTTTTCTATTGAATCGATCGATAAATGAGACAATCGGTGGTAATAAAGGATGGACTCTTCGGGATCCGATTGCCAGTCAAAGATAATTCTTGTGATGAGTGGTTGTAAGAGTTGAGTCCATTCATCACTAATTGATCCAAATCTGACAAATATTTGCCGCAAATGCGGGCAAATCTTTCCAAGCATTTCAACCATTATGAAAGTGTGACCATTAAAAGATCCCATTCCTCGGCAGTCAATGGTCTCAATGTTTGCACATTTTATGGCAATTGTTTCCATCGTTTGAGTCATTGTTTTAATTGTTTTATAGATTTGGATAAAGAATTTGAGATCGATTTCAAATATAACAACACTCTCAAAGATAGTCCTCTGGAACTGTTTGGACACACATTCACATCGAAACCGATCTTCGAATGAGAGATAAGACAATAGAAGTTCACACAAATCATCACCGAATCTGTCCATTGAGTTCTTCGCATAGATTTGTCGCTAAAATTAATGATAAATACGATTAAAACTCATTAAACAGTAAATTGTTTCTTAAATACCTGTTTATTGTCTTCATTGCCGTCATCTGTGGTCTCGAGTGATGTCTTCATTGATCTCATGTTTTGTGACATCTCTTAAGAAGTGATGAACTGATTGTACGAAACGTTTGTTTGAAATTATATTTAAATATTGTTTTCAAATCAAAACAAACGATAAAAGCGTTAATAAATGGAATGTAAAAAAGTGTTGAAATAATAACGAGAGTCGAAGTGATGAACTGATTGTACGAAACGTTTGTTTGAAATTATATTTAAATATTGTTTTCAAATCAAAACAAACGATAAAAGCGTTAATAAATGGAATGTAAAAAAGTGTTGAAATAATAACGAGAGTCTACTGTATTGTTATAAATACTTTATTAAGGCTGAGCTAACTATACTATTCTATTTCTAATTGACAACTCGTTATACTCTGTTATATTTGACAGTAAGCACTGCTCTTATATAACAGGCAAATGATCTTAAGTTTACAATAGTTTGACTGATAATTAATAATAGGAATATTACAGTAAGTCATATACAGTATACAGATATCTACTAATTTGCTTAATATACACGTATCAGTCATTATGAATATACTGATAATAATCTATTCATTGATGAGTCTAATAGTGATGGCCAATGATATTGAGTCCAGAGGTGTAAAGAAATAATTGAATTTCTAAAGTCATATCAAATCCATTCATTTGAAGTCTATATTTGACACGTTATTAATATTTAATTAAAAAGTGATTTAAAAATTAATTACATTTGTTTTATATTTCAATTTATAATCAAACCATTCATTTCATCACTTCATTTGATCTCAAGATATGGCGCGTCAGATGAAACATAAGAAGAAATTACTCGTAACTATAGATGATAGCGAAGAAGAGGACAGACAACATGTATTTACCATAAAATCAATTGTTTATTGAATTTTAATTATTTTTGTTTCACATTAGACAGAAATCTATGCCAAAGACTCTTTGGATCGATTCGGTGATGACATGTTTGGACTGTTGTTATCCTATCTCTCACTCGAAGACCGATTTCGATGCGAATGTGTGTCAAAACAGTTTCAGAGGACAGTCTTCGGGAGTGTTGTGGACATCAATCTTAGCGATGGATTTATTCAGAGATTATTGACAAATGAGAAGATAATTGACAGACAAATGTTGGCCACAATTGCCATCAAGTGTTCAAATATTCAATGCATTGATTGCAGAGGAATAACCACTGGATTAGACCAACATTTTCACGAAGTGTTGAACACATTTCGAAAAAAATGTCGACATTTGCGAGAAATTTACTGCAATGTGTGGGAAAATAGCGGTCAGACAATGGGTCCATTGGCACCATTGGTCACCCGAATCGGTGACATTCACTCCTTATACAATCGTTTAGCACTCGTTTATTGCCACCGATTGTCTCGATTACGGGTCAAATCATTTGACGACATCTTTGGCTCATTTAATGGTCAGATAATCGCTAAGAATTTGCATGAATTTGAAGTAAAATACTATTTGGACCGCTATTTGCATCGATTTAATGAATTTGTGGCACACAATCAGTGGCTCACAAGTCTGATCGTCAGGAATACAATACTCAACACTCAAATGTTCGTTGAAATGTGCGGACAATTGTCACAATTACCGCAATTACGCGATTTGGCACTCAATATAAGGCTAATGAAAGGCCAGAACTCATTGAACGACTCTTTGCGTAGAATTGCCGTAAATTGTAAACAATTGAACCGATTGTCACTCACTGTGTATACAATGCCTACCAAAACAATAACACAGACATTGCATTCGTTGAGACTTTACTCGCAATTAAAACGATTGCATTTAACACTCATCGGTGCCGTCGCTAATGGTTTGTTGGATCCGTTGAAACTCTGCAAGAGATTAACGCATTTAGAGCTCGATTTGCCGCGAATTAACATTAATTTGTTTCAAAATGTGGATAAAAGTTATCTAAGACTTCATTATCTATGCATCAAATCTACTGTAATCACTGGCGAGTATTTGTCACACATCTCAAGACTACCGGCGCTGCAAATACTTGTCATTGAATTCAATAGAAGCGAACGTTTGTCGGGCAATGATTTCATTGATCTGTTGACCAAATGTCCTAAACTAAAAACAATTAAAACCTGTTTAAACAATATTCAGACGTTTTATTCATAAATAAAAATGCATTCAATGTTAATTAAATGCATATTATCTGTTAGTTATAAATTACTTTCTGTTACTTTTTTGTCACGTAATTTTCAAATTTTATTTATAGAAATATTTTTAAATATAATTTGAATTTAATTTTGATTCTTAATTGTAAATGATTATAATAATTATTATTTGTGTCTAAGTTTCCAGCATTTATAATATTTGCCTTATTTGAAATATAACGTTTTTGTTATTAAAGAAATTAATTATCAATAATTTACCTTATAAAATGTTTGTCTAAAACAATAATTGTTTTTAAATCAATTAATTATTAATTTGTATAATAAATTCTATTAATATATTAAACGATGTATAATATAATAGACTAATATCATAATTGATCTTTGTTTAATAGAAATATAAATGTTAATATAATTGTATATTATTTATACAATACAATTTGTATCAATATATTTAGTTGTTTTCCAACAATTGACATAAAGTAAAACCTTGTACTATATTAGTAAAGTTAGATAGAAAAATATTTAACAATAATTGTTTAATTCATTTATTTCAATAAGAATATAAGGTTTAATGTGAAAATTTTATCAGTAATAAACATCACTCATAAAACTATAAATCGAAGTACAATATTAAGAATTGTATATATTCTACAATAACACTACAATTACATCAAATATACTGTAGTTTCCTATTATGGAAGGCAGACAAAAGGGACTACAGATTAAAGTGGAACACATTCTACCGCCAGAACTGGTCATCTCTGGCTGTGGGAGTGATCTCTACAGAATTGGTTTATCACAATATAATACACATAACAGCCATAGAAACACATTTCGGAGACCAATACTTATATTTATGGTATTATTAATACTAGCGATGCGTTGCATATGTATGATGACAATGGATGAACAAAATGACCGGTTTTATATGGTTTGGGGTGATATTGGTTATTTCATAGGTGTACGCATACAACTGAATAATGGCCATTTATTGTTTGCGGCACATTGTTTGTGTTCACAAATAGTACAGTTTTCTAACTACATGTCGGGTATAAAACCCAATGATTTGCGTGTATTTCAAGTGATGTCGGGTTTGATTGCACCCAAAAGTATTGGTCTCAACGATTCGGATGTGGTGTTGAAGTTAAGGCATGTTTTCAACAAAAGTATATTATATTCAAAATTTGGTGTAAAATTTGTTCCAATACAAGCAATATTAGTCGTGATTTTCACATTTTATGCCAACTTTGCTAAAAATGATTTTGTTGTTTATGGTATTCCCAACACCATATTGTGGGCAATTTATGCGGAGTAATGATCTGGCAATTTGTTTATTACTATTTAATTACATATTATATGAATATTAAATTAAAAGTATTTAATTATAATTTGAAAGCACTTTTGGCTATTATTCACAGAAAAACGGCAACAAATAAGAAAACATTTAAATTAAATACACTTTCATTGAGAGAATTGATCAAAATTTATGATGAGATCAATGAATACAATGATATTTATTGGTCTAAATATTTGTTAATTATTTGGTTCACAGTCAGTTGTCTTATATCAAACACAATCTATCTAGTGTATTTTAGCAAATTCAATGTATTTATTGAAATCGGATTTTTGTCATATTTAATTGTGTTAACTCTACTCCTGATGTTTATAATCCGTATTTCTTCACTCATTTATATCGAAGCAAATAATTCATACAAATTAGTGAACTCTATATTTTGCACTAATAATTATATTACTAATTTTAGATTTAAGATTAAGGTAGGTGTGACAATTATTGTATTGATAATATATTTTTTGGTGATTTTATTAATAATTATATTTATAGTTATTAACACTGATTGAAAGAATTGGTACTAAAAAAGTGGGCTTTTATTGTTGGAAATTATTTATTTTTAATTCATTCACAGGATATGAGGTATTAGAGATATAATGGATTAAGAAATATAATTTACAAAAGTTATACATTTTAGATAATATTGATGATTGCAATGCTTTACCTAAAGTTATTAGAATTATCATAAATATTAAACATATGATCTACCATAGTAAGTTGTATGCATACATTTTATCTACAATATATGATTTGATTTTAACGAAAAGGATCTTAGATGATTTATAAAGGAGGATGGGCAGATTTGTAATAGGGTTGTCTTGTAACCGCTCATTATATGTCGTATTATTTAGTCCTAATTTATTGTATATTTAGTTATCTATTTTTGTACTTTTCTTATAATATAAGATAATTATATAAGATATTATATAATTTTTTGTATCTAAATATTATTACTTGTAACTATAAATAAAATGTTCACTATTGTAATAATAAAAATTAAAAAATAACTTTTTAAATTTTTTTATAAATTTAATTCATTTTATTAGAGTGTTTATAAATAACTATTTATTATTAAATTTAAATTTAGAAAAGTTTTACTATTTTAAAAATATTTGCTATTTGTTAATATAATAAAACTTTTGTTAATTGTATTTTATTTACAATTTATGTCACAAAATTAAATATAAGTCTAGTCTTTAATAATAATAAATAAGACAATTCTATTGTAATTAAAATACATTATTTTCTATAATAGTCAATATTTGCCTTGTTTTATAATGGTGATTAGTAATTGTTTTAAATACATTAAATATTAACATTAGTTACATTAAATACATTTGTTATTAGGATAATTAATTTTACATTTATATAATGTATCAAATTAAATAGGCTAATATTATAATTAGTTTTAATGTTAAATAAAACTATATTAACTTGTAAGATTATAAATAGTTCATTTACTTAGTCGTTTATCAAATATTTAACATTAAATAAATGTTTTTTACATTTATATCTAATAACTCAAATAAATGCCAATGCGCGGTTTTTTTTATATCTCCGAAATTAAAAAATCTAGATCAAATTTGTAAAAAGTAAAATAAAGGCCTATATATTTAGTTTATTGTACAAAAAATTATTGAAATCACATGAGTAAATAATAAAAATTTCAATATATTTACCTAGGTCATGGTTCCAGCCTAACTAAAGGGGGTCGGAGGGGGAGAATGTGTTATTCTATAGAAGAGATTCAAAGTCTATGATAGCAAAGTGTGATTTATATTCATGCAGCCATCTCAGAGAAATTCAAAAATCAAAAATAGGGAAAAAGTGTCCTAAATTGAATAAAAAAGCACAACACTGTGACAATTTTCCAGTATAGACCTAATAATAATTTTTCCAAATATTAAACAATATTTATTGATTTATTGTTCTTTAAGAAAGAATATTAATTTGATTTTTATGAGACTTTGACATCTTCTCTAATGAATAGCATAACCGCCCCCTTAGACCCCCTTTAGTTAGGCTGGAACCATGGTCATTGGAAATGTCCTAAATTTCCATAATAGTAATGTTATTTTATTAATTTCATATACAAAAATTAAGCATGTGGACCTTTATTTAACTTTTTACAGATTTGATCTAGCTCGTCTTGTTTGGGAGTAATAAAAAACCGTGAGGTGGGATTTATTTGGATGGCTAGATAATAATATAAATTAATTTTAGCAATAATATAATAGTGTATTTAACTGCAATACAAAAGAAGAACAATTACTTTAAGTAATAATTAATATACAGTACCTTGAACTATAATGCTAAATTTGAGTAAAACATAAATGTAATTATGCTAACATTATGATCCATTTTATATTAAGATTGTGATAATCATTATATTGTTAAAGTTATTGAATAATAACTAATAATAGTTATTTAATAATAATTTAATTATGTTATTGATGATTATCTTAATGTCATTATCTTAATGAGAGTAATTTTCAGTCCCTGGTACAAATAGAAGTAAAATAATTCAATTTGTAATCTGATTAGAAATTTCCAAATACAAAAACTATATTTTGTATTATTTATATTGTGTAATAACAACAATAGTTAATATTCTATTATGGGTGACAAACAAACTAGATTACAAATTAATACCGAGCGCATTCTACCACCAGAACTAGTAATTGATGGGGCGGACAGTCATCTCTATAGAATTGGTTTATCACAATATAATACACATAACAGCCATAGAAACACATTTCGGAGACCAATACTTATATTCATTTCACTATTAATACAATTGATTCGTTCCGTATGTATGATAACAATGGAAGAACAAAATGATCGGTTTTATGTGGTTTGGGGTGACTATGGGTATTTTTTGGGTGTTCGCATTAATATGAATATTGGCATGTTATTATTTGCGGCACAGGGTTTGTGTTCACAAATTGTACAGTTTTCTAACTACATGTCGGGTATAAAACCCAATGATTTGCGTGTATTTCAAGTGATGTCGGGTTTGATTGCACCCAAAAGTATTGGTCTCAACGATAGGGATGTGGTGTTGAAGTTAAGGGGAGTTTTCAACAAAAGCTTCCTTTATTCAAAACTTTGCGTAATATTTGTGCCAATACAAGCTTCTCTAATTGTAATTTTGACATATTATGCTAACTTTTCTACGAATGAGTTTCTTGTTTATGGTATTCCACACATTATATTAATGACGTTTTTTGCGGAGTATACTATGTCTATAATGATCTGGCAATTTGTTTATTATTATTTAATCACATATTATTTGAATTCTATATTAAAAGCATTTAACTATAAATTGAAAACACTTTTAAATTTAATTCCAAGAAATGAGTTAAAATATAATGTATCATTTAAATTAAATACTCTTTCAATCAGAGATTTGATTAAAATTTATGATGAGATCAATGAATGCAATGATATTTATTGGTCTAAATATTTGTTACTCATTTGGTTTATATTCAGTTGTCTCATATCAAACACAATCTATCTAGTGTATTTTACCAAATTTAATGTATTTATTAAAATTGGATTTATGACGTATTTAATTGCATTGGTACTAATCCTGATGTTTATAATCCGTATTTCTTCACTTATTTATATCGAAGCGAATAATTCATACCATTTATTAAATTCAATATTTTGCATAAATAATTTATTAATTGATTGCAGATTTAAGGTTAAGGTAGGTTTAGAAAATATTGTAATATATTTCATTTAATTCCCTAAATAATTATATTCATAGTTATTAACACTGATTGAAAGGATTGGTACTAAAAGTGTAGTCTTTTATTGTTGGAAATTATTTATTTTTAATTCATTCCGAGGATATGAGGTATACTTGAGATTTATACTGGACTAATAAAAATAATTTACAAAAGTAATACATTTCAGATCATATCCATGATTGCAATGCTGTACTTAAAGTTATTAGACTTACAATAAGTTCATTGTATATCATAGTAAGGATATCATAATTACAATATCACCAGTTATTACACCAATCATCTGATGAAACTGAAATATGAAATTTGTCAATTTTTACTGCAATGTGTACTTTATCAATTTATACTGCAATATGCACTTTGTCAATTTATACTGCAATCATGATAAGTTGTCACTTCAAGGTCTAATCAAACTGTTGCACATACCATAAAACAGTTAGATTCTAACGTTTCTTAAATGTCCTTAAACAAACATCTATATAAACTCGTTAAAAATATAACCATTTAATTATTACAAACATTATTAAATAACTTCAAACATTTAAATTCAAATATAATGCCTATTGATCTCTACTATATTCTTAAATGTCCTTAAGCAAACATCTATATAAACTCGTTAAAAATATAACCATTTAATTATTACAAACATTATTAAATAACTTCAAACATTTAAATTCAAATATAATGCCTATTGATCTCTACTATTCATATATAAGCGCTCCGTCGCGGGCGGTGTTAATGACGGCCAAACAGTTGGGCATTGATGTCAACGTAATTAACATTGATCTAAAACAGGGACAACAATTTAAACCCGATTTTATCAAGGTAAATCATATAAAATTAATTCTCTTGTTATATTATCACCACTGTTATTTAAGTAAATTATTTTACATATTGAACATGTTTCTTTTCTACAGTTAAACCCGACCCATAAGGTGCCGTTCATAGTGGACGGCGATCTAGTCCTGTGGGAAAGTCGGGCTATTATTCAGTACCTGTGCAACCGATACGCGCCCGACAGCCACCTCTACCCCCGCGACCCCACAGAGAGGGCAATAGTGGACCGCTGGCTGTTCACCGATATGTCTTACTTTGAGACTAATATCAACGCTAAGGTAATATGTGTTGCAAATTGTTTATTCATTGCCTGAATGTAAACTCATTGCTATAACTTAAACACAGAATATTTTCCTATTTAATTACTTTTAAGATATTAATTATTAAACTTTTAAAAAGTTAATTTTACTAAATTTATCGTATTCAAATTAAGTGTGTGTATTAATAATTAATAATTGTATTATAATTTGTTTTATATTTAAGCATTAGTATAAATAGCAACATGACTTATAAATAAGCTCAATTATTTGTGCTCAAATTTTATGCTCTGAGAAAGTAGAGAGGCGCCGGTATACGCACAAACTATTGCACCTTCAGGAAACATAATGTTCTTGCAAAATATCGTAAGAAATGTTGCATGTATGTCCGTGACATTCTCAAGTAGTGACCATTTCGATCGGGAGAATATTTAGTCAAAATATCAATGTAATTAAAGAACAAATATATCATAGTATACATCACAAAACGGTTTGTAATTCTTAATCATTAATGGGTATTTGAATTTTTTAAATTTTTTTTATTCTAAACAATTCTAAACAACATTTCTTACGACCTTTTGCAAGAACATTATGTTTACTGAAGGCGCAATAGTTTGTGCGTATACCGGCGCCTCTCTACTTTCTTAGAGCATAAAATTTGAGCACAAATAATTGAGCTTACTTATAAATTAGTATTTTACATAAAAACATAAATGAAAATTTATTGCCTAACATGATGTCCTTGAGCATTCTAATTGACTAGGCACACATATTAATGTTATTGAGTATAATTGCCAGGCATCCCAAATGATGCATGGTACAGATCCTACTGAGCGTGATGTGGCAAATTATAAAAGCACCTTGCAACTGCTCGACACATTGATCGGTGACAATCGGTACGCGGCGGGTGGCCAGCACTTGACCATAGCTGATCTGTCCCTATTAGCGACCACGGTCATTTTGTCGGTCAACTATTACCGCGATTTAGACGATTACCCGCATCTGAAGGCCTGGTTTACTCGTCTGAGCAAAGAGTTGCCATATTTTGATGACATTAATGACAAAGTGGGTGAGGGGTGGAGAAAGTGGGCGCAAGACATCGCCGACAAAAAATAAACACCATTGGAAAATGTTACTATTTTATATTATATAGTGGTATATAATTTATATAAAGATATTTACCTGTAATATTCTTAAGTATTTTGTTTGAAATAAATGTAATGCCATTAGATTTGTTAAATAAAGTTTTTTTTAATGTGTTTAAAATATCATACATATTATTAGATGTACTAAGATCTGGTAGATTATGGTTAACAATATCATATAAGTTTAGTTAGTTTTTTGCATTTTCAGTATTTTAATAGTTTTATTTTTAAAAATAATGTCTAAATTGACTAAAATATTCTTATCATCTGTAATTAGATTGCAATTACTTTATTTTACAAACCGAAATTATTTTTATTCTTATAATTATAGATCATTTGTAATAAAGATAATTTTTATATCTGTTTACGAAACTACAGTATGTAGAAACATTAAAATTTGTAATTTAACGACATACATGTAACGGTTTATTAAAGGTTTATTAGGGATACGATAATTGTGTTTAAAATTAATGCATGCAATAATAGTTGATGACATTATGTTAATTATAAGCTTAATTACAGTATAATTATCAAGCAGAATTATTGACGATGGTAATTTATTTTTATTGTATTTAAAGTTTTAAAATATACCAATTTGACAAATATACAAAAACAAACTTAATTTATATTTAAAGTTAATTTTTTGAACTACAGTGTGTTTAAATTTTCTCAAGAGGCATACATTTCATTGAGGTATAAAGTTTATTTTACAATCTAACTATTAATATATCTAAAAATCAAAAATAGTTCCCTATTATGGAAGGCAGACAAACGGGACTTCAGATTAATGCTGAAAAAATTCTACCACAAGAACTGGTGATCAATGGGGCGGACAGTCATCTCTACAGAATTGGTTTATCGCCATATAATACACATAACAGCCATAGAAACACATTTCGGAGACCAATACTTATATTCATTGTATTATTAATACAAGCGATTCGTATCGTATATATGATAATAATGGGCAAACAAAATGAACGATTTCATGTGGTTTGGGGTGATTATGGACATTTTCAAGGGGTCCGCATAAATATGAATATTGGCATATTATTATTTGCTGTACAGGGATTGTGTTCACACGTAATACAGATTTGTAACTACATGTCGGGTATAAAACCCAATGATTTGCGTGTATTTCAAGTGATGTCAGGTTTGATTGCACCCAAAAGTATTGGACTCAACGATTGGGATGTGGTGTTGAAGTTAAGGGAAGTTTTCTACAAAAGCTTACTTTATTCAAAATTTGCCGTTAAATTTGTTCCAATACAAGCATTTTTAGTTGTAATTTCAACATTTTATGTGAATCTTTCGACAAATGATTTTGTTGTTTACGGTATACCACATACTTTATCATTGACCATTTTTGCAGAGTATACGTTCTCTATAATGCTCTGGCAGTTTGTTTATTATTATTTAATCACATATTACTTAAATATTAAATTAAAAGTGTTTAATTATAAATTGAAAACACTTTTAACTATTATTCAAAGAAAAACAGTAACAAATAAAAATGTATTTAAATTAAATACTCTTTCATTAAGAGAATTGATCAAAATTTATGATGAGATCAATGAATACAATGATATTTATTGGTCTAAATATTTGTTACTCATTTGGTTTACATTCAGTTGTCTCATATCAAACACAATTTATTTAGTGTTTTTTAGCGAATTCAATATTTTTATTAAAATCGGATATTTGTCGTATTTAATTGCATTGTTATTAATCCTGATGTTTATAATCCGTATTTCTTCACTCATTTATATCGAAGCAAATAATTCATACAAAATATTAAATTCAATATATTGTAGTCACAATTTCTTGACTAATTTTAGTTTTAAAATTAAGGTAAGATTTAAAATTATTGTAATAAATTTATTTTATGTGTTATTATTTTAAAAATATCTTTAAAGTTATTAACACTGATTGAAAGAATTGGTACAAAAAGAGTGGGTTTTTATTGTTGGAAATTATTTATTTTTAACTCATTCCGAGGATATGAGGTATAGTATATAAAAAAATTTATTTAATAAAACTAATTTTTAAATAAAAATAATATATTTCAGATAATATCGATGATTGCAATGGCATACTTAATGTTGTTAGATTTATGATAAGTATTTACAAATTATTAATCTAACTAGTAATTTGTTTGTAATTATAAATAAACATAATTCGTTTAGAAATTAAAACTAAATCATTTAATGCAATAAATATATGAGTCTTTTTCTAATTAATAAGTATCTTTAAATTTAATTATTTTCACCATATTTGTTTACAAATTAGATTTTTAATTAACCACCAATATGCAACCATAATGTAAACATGTGTCATATAATCACAAAATATACAAACAATGGATGTGCCATATATTTAGCCTTTATAGTGATCATATGGACCGCCAATAGGGTGACCAGTTTTGAATCAACAATTATTGACGCGGACGGCCTTATAGAGCGACTGTCGCGCGCCAACAATGAATTTTCCATAAACATATTTAACACATTATCCACCGAATTCGGTAATGAGATTATATCTCCCCTCTCGCTATTCTCGGCTTTTGGTAAGTACACCTAGATCTACAGTATACTTATATCTACAATATAAAGTATACTGTAACTATAAACTTATCTAAATTATAAATGAATGAGTTGATTTTTTAATTTTTTGGATTAATAAATATTATTTTTATAATTTATATAAAGATTATATTATGTAACTTATTCTTTACACATGTACTTAGGTAAATAATCTGATATAATATTATTAGGCATTTTATATAACAGCGCGAACGGCACAACCAGCAAAGAATTGTCGCAATTTTTACATTTAGAGCAAAACAAATTAAATTTTAAGGACGCGAACGAAGGTTTTCGACTGTTGTTCACTCTACTCGCGAGAGACGCCGACAAACCCTATAAGAAATACACGTTAAGTGTGTTAAATAATGTGATCGCTCAAACTGAGCTTGATCCAAAGCAGGCGTTTATCGATATATGTGAAAATACTTTCAAAACTAAAGTGTTGGTCGACCCGCTCGAGGACACCGAGGCTTTGAAACTGGCTGTTAACGCGTGGGTCAATAAAAACACCCAGGGTAAAATTGAACGCATTATCGACGGGAAATTGGCGTCTGATACACAGTTTATGATTTTAAACGCTGTATATTTTAAAGGTATAAACTAAACTTGGTATAAAGTTTATACTATAAACTATAGTCTGGCATATTTAACATGGTGTAAAAATATTTAACATAATAATTTGTATAGTATAGTAACATATAAGATAATTACTATAACCTAAATGAACTTAAATTAATACATATCAAATTATATTAGTACACTACTAGTTTATAAATTCATAGACAAACTAATAATTTATAAATAAATAAATAAGTATTTTTAAATAGTGTTTAGACAATTTATACAAAAATTAATCTCGTTAAATAAAATTATATAAATAACAAACAAAAAAATTACGCTAATTCAATTACCTTATATCGCAGGCCTATGGGAGCGGGAATTCCCTGTGGACGACACCCGGGAGGGGGAGTTCACAACCGCCGCGGGTGTCAAACAACGCGTCAAAATGATGTCTCTATCGGGCGCTCAACTAAACTACATAATGGCGCCCAAAGTGCTGGACGCGCAGCTACTGGAGCTGTGTTACATAGACCGGGCCCTATCGTTCGTCATACTGCTGCCCACCCAACGGGACGGCCTCCGCAAACTCAAACGAGCCCTAACCCCGGCCTACCTGAGCGCAGCCCTGAGCCAGATGTCTGAGCGCACGGTTAACCTACTGTTACCCAAATTCCGGTTCGAGGAGTCGTATGCGTTGAAGTCGGCGCTCATGGATGTGGAC